CTAGCCATCATGACCTCTTGCCTAAAATATCATATTAACCTCCTTGTGGTACTGCTCTCTTGGCTCCTTCCCCCTGGGCCATCCATTCTCGAACTTGTAATCAGAGGGATGACTCAAAAAGATTCCTCAGATCACATAACTCCCCAGTTCAAAACTTTTAAATGATTTCTCGCTCTTGGGAAAATGTCGTAGCTCATCTCAGTATATATGAGGATACTTCAAAAAGTTTATGGAAAGATTCATTTTATCTTTTAATTTTATTTTTCCACGAAATTTTTGAGGCACCCTTGTGTTAATAAAACATATATGCACACAAGCGCAAACATGAGGGTACTTCAAAAGGTTGGTGGAAAAAATATATATGAGTTACTCTCTTAGTTTTATGACTTTGACATGTTATTAATGAGCACAATCAGCTGTGACTTACATATTGCCAAGTGGCAAGTACAAATGACACAAATTCCCTTACAATTCTTCCTGGGGTTTTGATTTTATGCAGAGAATTACTGTTTTACAAAATCTAACTACTCCTGAGTCCCTAATTTAGCGCTATCAAAGCATGATTTTTTTTCACTTTACTTATTTACTCAAACAACTATCTACTTGAAGGATGGTTGAACAATGGTTTATCATTGCTCTGTGATGATATATGTCGAATCACACTGTCTGCTTTGTTGTTTTGATCTGAGTTATTTTTAACCTTTTTATTTTTCCTTAAAGTTAAAGTTGCTAAATGGAACAGGAAAACAAATCTTTAAAAATATACAAAATTATTTGTTTCCTAAAAATTAATTGGTCATTTAACAGATGTTACTTTAGGAAATAAAAGGAGTTATGTGGGAAGGAAGGTTCACTCTGTGAAGATATGAGTGCTTCAAGTGTGATTGATATAAACAGCAGGCAAAATTCACTCCAAGACCTGAGTCACTTACAGTAGTGGAGATTGTTTCTGTGAAAGTCTGGCAATATGTTTTAAACACTCTTTCGGTGGTTCTTCAAGATTAATTGTATTCTCTTCAGAATCAGGTTTCATATACTCCCACCCAGCAGCTGGAAAATCAATCTGAAATAAAGAAATGATTTGCCATGTATTGAATGTGTCTCAAAGTCCATTATTAATTTAATTACCTCTTTCTTAGATTTATAGAAACTAAAGAATAATTTCTATTTTTCTGTGATAATTATTTTAAAATAATTTAAAAAATCATTAAAGCTTGGACTTGGTATTTAAATATACATGATATTTGGCTAATTATTTATATGAATGGTATAGATTAGTAATCTGTAATGTCTGAAGGAAATAATAATAATANAATAATAATAATATATAAACTTTTCATAAAGCTACATATGTCACATTTTTTAAAATGTGGACATTATAACCTTTCTAAATTTCAGTGTTAAATATTTTTCTATTATGAAATGATGACATTTGAAGATGGTAATTATACTTTTTCATGTAATCACATGAGGAAATAAAAAGTTACTTTATGTTGTTCTCTACTTCATGAAATCTACAAGTCTAGGAACCATTTTGTAGATATGAGAGTGAGCTGTTCTCTGGGAAAGATCTGTTTTGTAAGTGCATAATCTAATAGAATATTTTTGCTCTGGCTCTGTAGTTTAGATTTATAGACAGGGCTAGAATCCAGGGCTCCTTTTTTCCTGGCTCAATGTGCTTTCCATTAAACCATGTTTCAGTGATAATCCGATTTTAGTAAATAAAATAAGTTTAAAAAGGCAGTCCCAAACCTTGTAAATGAGTTGGATGTTTTAGTGCTCCGTATATTTGCTTAAGGTTATCATATGTGCTTTTTCTCATTTTAATATTAGAAAATCCGCAGAATTTATTTTTCTCTGCCGAACTGTATGTTAGGTTGGCATCTCAGGGAAAATTGAGGAATGGCACAAAGTAGACTGTGTGAGTTACAGTTCGAAATGTAGCTTAATCTATAACAATTCATATTTATGGAAAAAATTTTACTAATTTCATTCCAAAACTCCTAAAATTTGTTGCAGTTCTTGTTTTTGGTATGATCTCTGTTGTATCAATTATTGCCCTGACATGATAAAAGAAACAAGTAATAGACAAGCTAAACCAAACCATAAATTTTGCCTCTTGACAAAGATTAATTCTGAACAATTAACTTTGCTGCCTTAGGGAGAAGTGCATCCAGTACTAGCAGGTTGCATGCTACTCTTTACGTACCTTAATATTTTTAAACACATGGAACAAAAATACTAGAAATAGCATTTAATGAACTAGTACAATTTTATGTCTGTCCTAAATAAATGGCAAGGTGGATGAGGAAACTAAAGATAGCATATGAAAATATAAAAGCGCTCCTATGCTCAAATCTATAATAAATTATTTGCTATATTTCACTTAGTAAATAATTTTTATTTCTGATTCATGAGTGAGCCCTTATATCAAACTGCATTTCTTTATGCTAATTTTTATTTCTGATTCATGAGTGAGCCCTTATATCAAACTGCATTTTTTTATGGATTATGAAGTTATGTTATTACTAATTCTTGAGCCACTGATAGAAAATATTGGAATTTTTCCCAGTTTCCTTTTGTTCTAACTTTATACAAAAGAGATATTCCCCAAAAGTATGTAATAATATATTTGCTCTAGAAGATATAAGTAATATCTGTTACCTTTAGAGAACTTCAAGTCTAGTTGAGGAGAAAAGGCACACACATTAACAACTAAAATAGGGAACAGAAATGCATAATACCCCAAAGCTGTGCTTCATTATTGCATTTCCAGTCATAGCAAACACATGACTGCTCTTTGTCCTTCTATGACTGCCTGACTTAGCCTGGCTATGGTCTCAATTTTCTTTTTAAAAGGATGCTCTGGGAGATCTATTCAAATGTCTACTTTGCATGTGCCATGACACCTATTTGTCACATTCTTGCCTCAAGCCTTAAGAATACACTNTTTTTATTTCTGATTCATGAGTGAGCCCTTATATCAAACTGCATTTCTTTATGCATTATGAAGTTATGTTATTACTAATTCTTGAGCCACTGATAGAAAATATTGGAATTTTTCCCAGTTTCCTTTTGTTCTAACTTTATACAAAAGAGATATTCCCCAAAAGTATGTAATAATATATTTGCTCTAGAAGATATAAGTAATATCTGTTACCTTTAGAGAACTTCAAGTCTAGTTGAGGAGAAAAGGCACACACATTAACAACTAAAATAGGGAACAGAAATGCATAATACCCCAAAGCTGTGCTTCATTATTGCATTTCCAGTCATAGCAAACACATGACTGCTCTTTGTCCTTCTATGACTGCCTGACTTAGCCTGGCTATGGTCTCAATTTTCTTTTTAAAAGGATGCTCTGGGAGATCTATTCAAATGTCTACTTTGCATGTGCCATGACACCTATTTGTCACATTCTTGCCTCAAGCCTTAAGAATACACTTCTGAATTCAAAGACAGAAAATAATTATGGGGTCTTTCCTTTAGGATATAGGAAAATATTCAGGCCTGGTCATCCCACCTAATGATTCACACCTCCTTACACATTTGGATATTGACTTCTTGTGTTCCATTTATCCATCTCGCTTTGCTTCTCACCCTTCCTTATTTACACTTGTTCACCACGGTTCCTACTGTGTCTTTTTGACTTGGAACTGCTTGAGGTCACTGTTCGCATGTCCCTAGTGTCCACTCCCCACAATCATACCCATAAGGTGCTTCTTGCTCAGTGTGGGCCTCCACAATTCTGTCAGTTTGTTTAAAGAACTTCCACCTGGACTGCAGATGTGGTTGGAGTACAACAAGCCAAGGGAAGGAGGAGGCAAAGAAAGCAGGTAGGTGTACGTGGGGCATGAACAGACATAGGAAGTCAGGGGAGAAAGCAGCTTGGGAGAGGAAGGTGGGCTCGGTTTGGAACATGTGTGTTTGAAGCTGTTGATAAAATATCCAGGTGGGAGTTTCAGCAGGTGTGTGGCTACATTGTCTGAAGCTTGAGAAATGAAGGAATTTAAATTAGAGATACAGACTTGGAAGTGAACCTGCATTGATACTCTGAAGAAAATCTTATAAATAAATGAGACCCAGTAATTCCACTGCTAATAATAAAAAAAGTCTGATTTTATTTAAATGAAATGCTCAGAACAGGCAAATCTATAGAGACAGAATAGATTAGTGGTTGCCTAGGATTGGGGAAAATGGGAAAATAGGAAGCAATAGCTAAAAGGCATGGGATTTCTTTGTTGAGGTGATGAAAATGCTTTAAAGTTGACTGCAGTGATAGTTATACATATTTGTGAAAATATTACAAACCACTGAATTGTATACTTTAAGTGGGAGAATTATATGGTATGTGAGTTATATCTCAATAAAGCTTTTTTAAAAGAAAAAAAAATGAGTGAGAGCACCCAGAGGGTGAATTGCAATGGTCATGAGAATGACCGTGAGAAGGGCCCACCATGAAGGCCAGCAGAAGGGGAGCTTGGGAAGGAGACAGAGAAAGGATGGCCAGGGAGTAGTGTCAGGAGAAGCACAAGGGGACAGTACACCAAAGCCAGAGGAGCAGAGAGCTGAGGGGAAAAGACAGAGCCAGAAAGAGCAGAGAGAGGGCTAGTGTCATGAGGACCGAAAACCACCAATGGATTTGGCCCCTAGGAATGAGCGGGTTACCCGTGTGGTGTAGACGAGACAGAATATAGTGAATTTAGACACCCATGGGGAGGTGAGGAAGTACAGAAAGATAGAACAGAACAAGAACAACACTAACTCAAAAGAAATATCTCTGCTCTTAGTTAACTATGTGACAGAACCATTCTATTAGTTTGTATTCAGGAGTGGCAGGAAGTTGAGAGACAACCAGCTAAGGGAGTCAAGCAGTCACCTGCTTATCTGTCTCTGTTTCTGAACTTCGATCTACTTCACTTTATCCACTGCTTCTGGTCAGTACATCAGCCACAGAACCTAAAGAGAATTATTGACTCGAGGAATCACGTTCCGTGACATATCACACCCTTTGTCATACTGGGGTATGGCTTTAACCACCCACCTCATAAAGACAATCAGACAAGTACAGACCTGACAGAAATCAGATAGGCATAGTATAATCTTTTCATAGAGGTGAAAATGGAAGGTTAGGTGACTTGTTCAAAGTCATAAGGTTTTCTGTTAAAGAACTAAGATGAGAATCCAGATATCCTAACTCTCAGCAAGATGGATAGATGTGTTTTCCTGATACTCCTAATTCCCTAACAAAAACACTGGCTGCAGAACTTGCATCTAATTTCCTCACCATCTCATAATCTTTAGGTTGAAAGATTCTCCTCTCCATTTAGCTATGTAATTAGAATTATATTGATAAGGAAGTTCTGACTCTACTACCTTGATAACTCCTACTTTATTTTGTACGTCTTACCATCAATTAACAAATATGCTGCTGCATACAGCCCAGTGACAATCAAACTGGCCATGTCCCCCTCCTCTGCACCCAGGCCAGTGAAGGAGTCAGCCATGGGCAAGTCCGTCCTGCCTTCTCTCTTCCCCTTTCCCCTTCTCCTACCCTCTCCCCACCTCCTCTCCCCCCCTCCTCTTCTCCCCTACTGCTCTGAAACAACATCTTAGAATGCAACTATAATAATAATAATAAGTAAATAAATTTTTTAAAAATTAACAAACATGCTGAGAAGTTCCCTGTATATCTAAACCATCTGGAATTATTTTGCAAAAGTCAGATGATTTAACTTTTGCATAGTCTTGAATGATTTACATGCCCCCTTCTTTTAAGATAAATTCTATTGTGGATCCATATTTCTATTTGAAAATAGCATCTCAGGAAACCGAATTTATGCTGCTATTGAATACTTGAAACTTTCCTTCTGATTCCACTGCCAGAATCTGTGTTCCTAAAGGAGCTGTTTTCCTCATCTGAGAAGAAGGAAGGAGAGTCTCATCTGAAAGTCATCCTTCTCTGTCTCCTACCCCCACCACTCTCCCCTGCCCCAAAGACCCCTACAATCATAAATTTATATCCACAAAGCTCTGGCAGTCTGTCAGACTTGAAGACTTTCATTAAGCTGAGAATGTTTGAATCTAGCAAGAAATAGCTTGTTAGAAAATGCTTTTATCCTTTTAAAGAAAGTGGCTGACATCTACACATGGTCACCCCACAGGTCTGTATGAATGCAATGTATCCCAAACTGGACTTATCATATTACTCTGTTGAAGACTGTTAATTCTTGCTCTGCTTTCTTTTTTGAAACTAAAGATATTGCTGTTGACTCAGAAAACCAAGTTTCTATCTCTCTTTCCTTATTTATTTTCTTTATATATTTGTACCCCTTTATGTTCAAATAAGTTGCTAAAATCTACACTTTTTTTTTTCCTAGTTTCGGTGATCACTAAGATGTCCTTCTAAGAAGTGTCAACATATCTGGTCTTCTTGTTTTCTAGGACATTTTCTACAACATTGCTAGAACTACTTTCTATGAATCATCTTTTAGATAATCATGTCCAAATCTAGCACACAATCTAGTAGCCTAATGATTTTCTACCCTTTCCCACCGTTCCTCACATTATTTTTTAATCTTAGCTAATGTGCCATATTTTGAAACTGCCACCCCTTTCCTGAATCTGTGTGTTTGTATCGTGTGTTCCTTTATGACCGGATGGTCCTTCCCACTTAAACTAGTTAGTGAGAATTGACTCATTCTACAAAGTGCATTCAAGTGTCATGTCCTCTGAGATCTGTCCTCAGACTTCCTACATTTCTTTGCTTTCCCTTTGAAATACTCACTGTTATTCTATGTCAGTGACCCTACAATGGCTACAGTATTTGTCACATTGTATCAGAGTGAGTTGTGAAAATCTGTCTCTCCAGCTGGATTTTGCATTCCTTGAGTTCCCTGACTTGGTATTATGTATTCACTCATTTTTGTATTTTGTAAGGGTTTTTATCATAATGTTTGGTGTGTAGAAGTCATATATGAAATGTGTATTCAATGTGATTGAATCGAACCTCTAGCATTTTGCTATTCTTCATCAGTAGAATATGTTTATCAGGTTTATGGTGAATCTCTCCTCTTTCGTAATGAAAATATTTCTTTTTCTCTTTTTTTCTGGTTACAACAAGACAGCTGCTAATTGGTATGCCATCATGTTTTAAGTGTCTATGGTCTTGTGCCAAGATCTAAGCTGAATGACCCCTCTTTCTTACCACCATGTCCACAGGTTAGAAGTGGATGTTCAGGTGCTGTCTGGTGGGGACTTCCTCTACCAGAGTGTAAAATCACTTTTTTATTAGTATTAATTTTCCTTTCCATTTTCAACATTTTTCTATGCATCTGTCTAAACACTCTCCCTCAAATCCTTTAACCCAAACCTGGAAACTTAAGAGCCTGGAGACTCTACTAGCTTCTTCTAGCTTCCTTTAGAGCAGTGATTCCCAGATGAGGGAAATTTTGTCCCTAGAGGGCATTTGACAATATCTGGAGACAGTTTTGATTGTCAGAATTGAGGAGCTACTACTGGTACCTAGTGGATAGAAGGCAGGGATCCTGGAAAACATCCTACAATGCACAGGACAGTCCCCCACGATAAAGAATTATCTGGGCCAAAATGTCATCAGTGTTGAGGTTGAGAAACTTTGTTCTAGAGGGTGCTGCCCAGATAGCAGTTCCCAGTTTTTCCTGCAGAGATGGAAAGTCCATATTCCCTGCATTTCCATGTACGAGAGTTTCCAGGCTTCAGACAGCTGACCAATATGATCACCTACATTGTGAACACAGAAGAGCTGTCAGCAGTAAGAACCGAAGCTCAGAGTCATTGACCTTTCATTCGTGATCACAAATAACAGAGAGTAGGAAGGCTTTAAGAAAAAGTAAGGACAATAGATGGATTTTCTCTGTAGTTTCTTTCCCACTACTCAGTTAATTGCTAGTCATTTAGGAAATGTACAACAGAAGAGATTTTAAAGAAACATGACACGTTGCAGAAGCAGGTGTGAGTAAGGTATCAAGTTAGTAATACACATATACCAATGACTGTTTTTAGAAAATGGAAAGAAAAATAAATGCACATAATGGGTATATTAATGGCAACACTCCATCACTCTCCTTCATGATCTTGTTTGACGGAGAATGGCTTGAAATTGCAATTATATAACCTGCGAGAAAAGTGCTTTGAGAAGACTGAATGTTAAAATAAAAGCAGTAGAGGTTTCATAAATCCCAGCAGGCTGGAGGAAGAGAAGACTATTAAAATGTACAATCCTGAAAGAAATTGTTTCCATCATTGACAACAAGCTATTTACCAACCAATACTTGCTGTGTGTACTTTAGCCTCATAGTCCAGCACATACCTGCAGGGTCACTGGGGATGGCTGACTTGTATCCCACACTCCTGGAGCTATCATTTCTATGGGTGGCTCACTCTGTAACGTCATGCTGAACAGCATAGACCCAAGAACAGAATTTCTGCAAAAGACAATACATACACACAGATAAGAGTCACTTCATGAGGGAAGCTATTATTATCTGTAAGTTTTCTTTTGGAATGTAAACATATTCAGCTATTTTAGTGGCTTCATGCAGTAGCTAGAAGAGAAATAAGATATTCCATGAGCCCAGACACTGATTAAGAGTTCATTTCTAATATACCACGTGCATAGCATAGCTATTTTCATAGATGCCTACATTTATTAGCTAAATGAGAAAATGGTTTCCATAATGGTTTCTAACAGGTAGCATTTATTCTTAATTGCTGTCAGTGGTGATTACAAGGTAGGACTAAAAATCTCAGACTTAGGTTCTTGGAGTTACAACTGCCTTAAGTCAATAAAGATGCTAACTCTTCAGAACATTTTTTCTCCACGGATGACTAAATTCTCTGGGTACTTTTAAAGATATGAATTCTAAATTTATAAAAAGAAAAGATTTAAATTAGCATAGCATATGATCTACAGAATCAAAATAGCTGTGGGATTTCACAGAGGAAATGCTTCTTTATGCATAAATAGAAAGATTATTCATATCCAGAATGTTTAAAAATCAGTTGTAAATTACCATAGTAAATGAGAGTGCACACAGGAAAGACTTTAAACAATGAAGAATTCGTGTATGGTTTTAATAGTTTCAGTAACATCCAAATCCACAGATCCTTATACAAATTAAAAAAAGAAGCTATTCCTGGATGTGTTTATGAGTGAGAATATTAGTAAAATATTCCATTGATTACTGAGAAGAGTTTTTGATTTTTACATACAAAATTGAAAATGTAAAACTGAAAGTCAACAGAATTCAATTTAAGTTTATACAGTACTTTAAAGCTTCAAGTGAATCTTTTTAAAAACAACATATAACTCCATCTTGCCATTTAACAGATACTATGCAAAACATGAGAGAAGAAAATCCAACAAATAAAGCTTTCTTTAAGCCTTTAGCTTTCCTAGGCCTGCCCTTTCCATTATTTTCCTTATCTAAGGATATTTCCACAAAGTATCTGCCCAGTAGAGTATAAATCTTATACATTATTGGGAAGATATTTTTATATGACCCAAGAATAGTCTTCTAGCAGAATGAATTTTGAGTCTTCTTTATCCCTTTGTCCCATCCCTCCCTCATCAGAAGAAAAATTTGGGGGTGATATAACAATACTTGGGGAGTCAGTATTAGTAAGGTAAAGGTTAGCTTAACCAGGGTACGGATTAGAAAATCATTTATGTAATTTTCCCCTTTGCTTTTCAGTGTGTACAGCCCTCACCCAAAATGGCCTGTGACATCAAATTTGCCTGAGAAGGTTTTGGATTAGTGTCGGGCAGAACGCAAGGGGAGGAGGAGGCATGGCTGACACCAAACTTGGAGGGTTCAGATCATGACGCTCTCCACAGCATTTATAGAAAATATTTCTGTACATGGTAAAGGGTCAGGAGAGCTGAGAAAGAAGGAGGATGTGGTGGATTGGAAGGAGAACATGCCAAAGAAAAGCCAATTGTTTCTGCCAGTGTGGGATGGTGGGAAGCAGAAGACAGAGAAAGAGGGAACAGAGTGAGCGTGGCCGACGTAGGTGCCCGGTTTGCCTCTCTCCTGCCTTTAGATGCAGATGTGGAGAAGTGGGGGTAAGTGAGCAGAATGGAATGCTGAAGGCCAGAGGGGCTCCTTTTTGCACTCTCTAGTTCAGATCCCGGAATGAAACTGTCTCCTGAGTCGCTCTATACCAATCTGTGGCATGACCATTAAACTTGGGGTCACATGGTAAACAGGTGGAGGAACTCCTGAGTTTAGCTCTATTGGGCCTTCTTTGTGTTCTGTGTAGACAAGATGGGATCTGGAAATAGCTAAAGATGTGTGAGAGGAAAGTTTCCAGAAAGGGTGTCACATGGTCGTGACAATGGGCCTCCATGATGAGGGCATCCAATTGGACCATCCAAGCTGAGTCCACTGGAAGTCACTGGTAAACCTCAGGTGGGTCTATGGTGCCCAGATGAACCTGAGTCACTCAGGGAGTGCCACCGAGCCCTGGCCAAGCCAAGAGAGCCCTAACCTTGAGCTACACTAGCTGCAGACTTCAGCTGTCATGAGCAGCCACCTGCTTACAAAGTGGCTTTGATTTGGATATCAGAAGTTATCAGGCTTTTACTCTCCTAGAAAAAGAATCAAGGTAGAAGGAAGTTACCTGAGCAACTAAGACTAAGCACTTTTATCCAAAAGATACTGCATACTTCTAAAAGGACTATTTAAATTACTGACTGACAAATGCCTTGTCATAAATGGAAAGTTTTTTCTCCTCATTAGTTAAAGGGTGGGAGCTCATAGGAGCCCCTTGTTGGGTGATGAGATTTACACTGTGAATTCATGGAGCAGGGCGTGGCACCTGGAAGCAGAAAAGGAGGCAGCTTGAGGTAATAAAACATGCGGAGAGAAATCAGACCTGCTTTCTGGTTCTTGTTCTGTTTTGAAGTAGCCTCATAACCTCTAGCAAGTCTTTTAACCTTTGTTCATCATAGAGTTCCTCATCTGTAAATGAGGTATTTGGATTCACTGAGCTCTGAGAGCCTCTCTTGGACAGGAAGGAAGGACAAAAAGGAATTCTTACCCACAACTTTTTTAGTTATTTGATTTTGAAGATATATCTGAAACTATTAGATAGAGTGGGGTCAGGGTTGGTTGTTTCAAGACTAAGATTTATTTTAGGCTCCTTTCGAAATTCTGCAAAAGCTTCTAATTTTCCTAGGCTTTAATTCACCTTGGGAGCTTTGAAAATGTGATGCTCAGGCCAGACCACAGACTAATTAAATTAGCATCTTTGAAGCGGGGAGTACTTGGGCTTTGGGATAATTTAAAAATTTCTCCAGAAAATTCTGTTCAATCAGGGTTGAGAATCTCTATGTTGAAATAGTTTGCCACAGTTTAGAAATGCTAAGTGACTCCACACTATCTGTTTTGAACTTAAGTAGGAAAGAGAGCTCATGGAAATGGTTGAGGTGAGGATAACACTGTCTTGCTGCGATGTGGAAACACTGTGAATGCAGATGTAGTGGAAGTCTTGTGTGCAGAAGAGAGGACTGTAAAACTTCTATGGGCAGAATTTTGCCTTTGGACTTGATTTTTTTTTTTTTTTAAGAATTGAAAGTGAGTTTGCATGCTTAACAATGTAAAAGTTTATTTTTATTTTTAGACATTATTCATGAAATCATAACTGATTTATCTGAGTTTAATTGCCATTGACTCTTCTGAAACCCACTTCTGGAAACCATGAAGAGATAGAAAGCCTTTAATTCTGCATATTTTCAGGTTATACATATGTTGGAAAAATTAATGTAAGCGTTCATTACAATGCCACATGGATATGGCATTCCAAACCACAATAAACCTAATGGGCTATCCAAACCATAATAAAGACAGATTCAACAGCAAATGTTTACAAGCAGAGGCCATTGTATGAAAGGAAATGAAATTAAGTCTCCAGCTTGCTGTGATCTGGTAATATCTGCAAGGAATAAACTGGATTAGAATCTCTGTAACTTGGATCAATGAACAAAGTGGGAGTCATCACATCTCCCAGCTGCCTCACATGATGGATTTCTGATGTGTTTAAAAGATCTGGATTTCTTTAAACTGTTTAACCCAGGAAAGAAGTAGATTTTCTGACTTTCATGAGAAATAGTCTGTTGGAAATATATTTGCAAATGCTTACTGAAGTACACTTTCAAGTAACTTGTGTTTTCTGATGTTTTATCATCCACAATTTTGACACTTTCCCTTAGGCAAATGTCACTTAGGATCAGTCCCAGATGGCATCACTAACAGATACCCACCTTCTATGATCACTAGCCTATGATATATTTACCAATATTAAGTGATACATGACAAAATGACATGGAGGCAGTATTTTTTTCTATGATAACCATCTAGAAAAAAACCTTGAAGATTATTTTGAAAGACAAAAATGTTCCTAACTTCTTATAAATTCAGTGTTTATTTATTATGTACAAAGTATTGTGTTAGCTGATGGAAGGGAATAAAACAGAACACTTTTTTTTCAGTGAATAGCTAGAAATGGTATTCTACAATAATGCTAGATCTTACAAATACAGCTAGAACACTTTTTTTCAGTGAATAGCTAGAAATGGTATTCTACAATAATGCTAGATCTTACAAATACAGCATCTGAAATTTTGTAGAAACTCATTCGTGAGAAGGAAGGACACCTGCATAGCTGAGCCTAGTGAGAAAGGACTGAAAGTTCTTAGCACACAAATCAGATTTTTGAAATGCCTTCTAACGGCAGTTGGTACTCTCTTTAAGGCTAAACTGTTTCTTGTAGACTTTTGAAATCTTATTTTATCCTACATTTCTTACAGGGATTGATTTTTTTCCCAATTCACTTTAGTAAGCAAACCTATCGATTGCCTATTTATACGAGGAACTACGTTAGATGATAGATACAAAAGTACCTCAAAAAGTTCATAGAAAGATTCGTGTTATCTTTCAATTCTATTTTTCCATAATCTTTTTGAAGTGTCACACAGAAATGGGCTAAAGCAGGAACACAAATAATAAAGTAACACACACACACACACACACACACACACACACACACACACACACACACACACACAGAGCCCAGAACAGAATTAACCCAACAAAGAAGGTTTTAAAGATTTATTATTGTTGTTTTGATGACAATTTACTTATATTGACAATTTA